GAAAGGTGATGCTATCCACACCGGAGGAGAAGAAGTCGTAGACACCCTATGGATAGACATCTATTCACCAGAATCCTATAGAAAAGAACATCAAACAAGGACCAACTAGGCAAGTGGCCCCCACACTCAGCTGTGGGTCAGAACTGCATGAGGAAATGGAGCAAATTATCATCCCCAATGCTCACCTTCAAAGATTCAAGGTCACTAGGTGTGGGCAAGAGCCAAGGAGATTTTTTTTTTTTAAGTTCCCTGTATATGTCTGATGTTCAAATGTGTAACCATACTTAAGGAGTATGGGTTCTTTGTGGCTTCTGTGAGTGCATCATAGTGTTTCCAGAAAAAGACTTCTCCTGCAAATGTTTTGTGTTTAAATTCCATCCAGTGCACTCACCCAGTCTGAAAGCCAGATCTATTAGCATCTGACTACGCAGGAGAAATCTTAACTTCACTTCCAGGTGTGTCTCCTCTTGGTTCATAATGCTACTGAAAACCTGGTGCTGTTCTGTTTTTGCACATTTTACACATTTAGCTATTTTCATTGAGTTCTATTTTTTTATTTTGATATTTAAGCCCTTCACCTTTCTTTCATTCTCATTGTGTATATTTAAATCTAATAAAAATATAAGGAAAAAGAGATTCTTATTTTTGAAATCTGTTTAATGCTTTTGCAATAGAATTAATCACTTTGGTGAATTCTGATGCCCTCCACTTTATGAAGTGTTTGGGGTGGGTGTGCTTGGATCTTCTGTTCATAGACAGCCATTGTTGGATTAGCTGGGCCACAGCCTGTGAATCATTCTAATAAGTCGTATGTATTATTATATGTCTATCCTATAATATATATATTCATTCTATAAGTTCTGTTACTCTAGAGAACCTTGACTAATGCAGTGACCTTCCATCTATCAGTTGGAATCCACTCAGATGTGAAGCATTTCCCAATGGTTCTCTGCTGGGCTGTGAGTTTCTATGTCCTGGACAGCTTTTGGAAGCATGAGGCTCTGGTTTCCTGGTTGTACTGCCAAGCTCCTCCACGGATTCCACAGTGTAGCTGGGTTTGTTGACTACTGACATAAGACAAAGCCACCAAAAAAAGATAGGCATTTTTCTGTCATTTGGAAGACATTCAAAGGTGGATCATCCGGAAACCCCACCCCAACTCTGAGAACAGAGTCTGAGGAAGGAGGAGTCCAGGGCAACCCAGTCCCATGTGCAAGCTAGAAAAACTACTCCAGTTGCTGTTTGCGCCTCTTGCTTGCTCCCTGGGCGAATGTGGGATTCCATCATGGCGCCAAGGCAGCAGGTGTTGAGAATTAGTGATTCTGGCGTCTGATGAGCACAGAGGGGCTTGTGTGCTGCTTTCAATTGTGAGAATATGTAAACTTCATAAGATAATATGAAAATATATATATATATATTCATAAAAAATAAAAGGTTATATCTCCCAAAAGAGTAGAATGTGTCCTCTCTGCTCAGAAGTTTAAAAATAGATCTGTTACCTTCGTGACACTTACTGTTGTACCTGGCGGCAGGGGTCCAGTCTTTGTTTAAATCCAAAATTAACCGTGGTATAACAGTGACTGAACAGACAGGAGGCTGAGTGTCAGAGCATGTGCCCTGGTCCCCACAGCCTCTCTATCACTGTGAAAAGGGACAAAAGGGCCACCAGAGACCCTGGGCCCAGCAAAGGGAAGTTGTTAACAAATGTTCGTTGCAGGCTGAGCCCTGAGGTCAGACACCTTGAACCCTGCACATCTGCTGTTTGTGAAACGCAGTCGGTTGACTTTCCCATCCTGTTATCAGAGGCTGTTAGGGCCCCGGCTGAAGTACAAAGTGTTGGCAAGGGTCCAACATCTGCTGATTGAGCTGGCCCGAAACGCTGCCCTGTCTCTAACCACATTGCCAGGGTTCTTGGATCCAGTGGGGCTGAAGTGGCGGTGACAGAGGGAAAGCAGTGAGTAGCGGCCCAGAATGTCCTTCCCTTCCACCGTTTCCAGCCAGCTCCTTCTGGTTCAAACACTGCTGCCTCTGTCCAGCCCCTGGCAGAGCCAGCAGCTTCCAAATTAGCAAGCACCTGCCATCCCTGGTCCTTCGTTCCCACAGTTCCTGTCACTGCTGGGCCCTGAGCCAGGCCTTGGCAGCGTGGAGATGGAGCCCACCTCAGGTGGCTCACAGATTAGGAGGCAGACAAACGTGAAAACCAGCGGGTTTCTCTCCCACAGTGCGAGAAAGCCCAGTGGTGCGAAGAGAGCATGTCTGAGAGTGGTGTCTGACTGGCTTGTGCGGCTTCCTCTGGCCCCTAGAGCGGTACCTTCAGAGCTTGGTACTGCACGGCAAACTTAGAAGCACCAAGGAAGCTAGGGAAGCAACGGACTTAGTGCTGAGCGTCAGCCCAGTGCCACCTGGTCAAATCCCACTCCCAAGCTCGCTGGCACAGTGGGCCCACAGAAACAATCGCTAAAGGATTCTCATGATGACAGATCCCCTGGTCCTAGAGATTCAGAGATGGGCCCAGGACCAAGAGGGGCATGGGAACTTCTGGCCTGATCCCACCATGGTAGAGATCGGGGAGACGGAGGCCCACTGTATTAGTGACTTTTCCCGTTGCTGTGATAAAATACCCCGACTTCAGGAAGGAACAGTTTCCCCCGCCTCACAGTGCAGCCCGTATGTCAGGGAACACGTGGCGGCCGGAGCTTGAGAAGGATCGTCACCTCCTCACCTGGTAGCTGCAAGTCAGGAAGCGCAGGTGGCAACTGCTCTCTCTTTTTGTCCCCCCAGGGGAAGGTAGGGTGGGTCTTCTCATCTCGGTTAACCTAATCTAGAAAACCTCTCACAGATGGGCCCAGAGATTTGTTTCCAAGGTGATTTCAAGTCCCATCAGCACTTGAGGGTGGGGGTGAGGGCGGGGGCGGCGATCCCGGAGAAGGGCCCGGGCTGCGCGCACCGGGTGTGGTTTATCGATTGTTCCCTGTGGCCCGGTGTGATGTTTAAACAACCTTTTTTAAAAAAAAAAAAAAACAGCCAGCATCCTGGCGAAGCGTCAGCTGCAGGTTGACAGGATGAGTTGCCCTAGGGTTGGACTCACGTACATGCTCCCCGTTGCTCATCTGTTAACAAAGGTTACGGTTCATACGTAACCCCACGACAGAATGCCAGGCGAGACAGGAAAGAGAGACCCACGGAGGGAAGTGAGGTGTGTGGGGAGCCTGGATCCCAAGCTATGCCGCACTGGGCCCGCTATTCCCTCCACAAGGGGGTCAGGGGTGAATGAAATCTTACTCCGAAGGCTGACACCGAGCAAGGCGACAGGAACAGCTTGAACCCATCCCCTGGTGGCTCCCGAGAGACCAAGGGACTCTCAGCTTCCCCTATTTCCTAGCTCTGCCTTGGCCTGGAAGCACGAGGGGAGGAAGGGATGCAGAGAGAGGCCCTGAGTCAGCAGCGAGGTAGGCCTTGGCCAGGTCAGGTGGGAGTCCTTCACGGCCCTGGAGGACAGAGATGCAGGCAAGGCTCTGCACATGCTGAATCTCAGGACGTCTGACCCCGTCCAGTGAGCCAAGGAGCACAGAGCCTGGTCCTCATGTCTGTCTGCCACGCTGGGCCAGGCTTTACTCTTTATTTATTAGTTTGTTTAAAACTTTTTTAGATTCTTTATTTTATGTGTATGAATGTTTTGCCTACATGTTTTGTCCATGTCCTGGTGCCTGATGAAGCCAGAAGACCGCATCAGATGCCCTAAAACTGGAGTCACAGATGGCTGTAAGCCACCTTGTGGGTGCTTGGAATTGAACCTGGGTCCTCCGCCTCTCCTCACCCCCACTCTCCATCCTCCTCGGCCCCCCACCCACCCACCCAACACAGCGGATTCTAAGGAAGCCAAGGGAGGATGGGGCCTGCCCTCGGCCAGGCAGAAAGCCGGGTGGGTAGGAGAGTAAATCCACAGCCAAGCCGTGGCATCTGCAGCCTTGGAGGTGCAATTAATGCCTGCTGGGGACAGATCAACGCCTCTAATAGACATGTTTATTTAACAGGCTTCCCAGTGCCCAGAGGGAGAGAGCAGATCATTCAATCCTGTTTCTCTGTAGACAGAAGATGGAAGAGGAGGGTACCGAGGGCTTGGACGGATCAGGCCCTGCTGCTGATGGAAGACACATCCCAGATTGCACTCAGTCGAAACATCCTGGACGACAGAAGGGGAGAAGGGCACAAGCACACTGAACAGAGCTGTGTATTCAGCCCCACTGCCGTTCTATAGTCATTGTGTTGGGGGTTGGGGGTATTCCCCAGAGAAATCTGCGTGGACCTGGGTTTAAGCCAAGAGAAAGTCTCTATTAGACTTTATTAGGTGTTCCGGATCCCAGTGTAGCACTCAGCCTTTCTCAGGGTGAGCTTGTAAGCACACACACACAAAATAATAATAATAATAATAATAATAATAATAATAATAATAATAATAA